ATGATGATGATGATGATGATGATGATGATGATGATGATGATGATGATATATATATATATATATATCGAGTGCTGCACCATGTCATTGGACAAGCCTTCCACGGGAAATGCCACTTTTTGATCCCAGGAGCATCGATGGTTCCTTGGGCGACAGTTGCGACAGGTGATCGAAAGGTCAACACAAGGCCAAGATCATCATGTGTGACAGTTCTTGGGGGGGAACAACAGAACAGTATTGCCTAAATCACCTACAAACACCAGCACCATCCATGCTGGTCTTGTGGGACACAGGATGAGCACAGGATGACCTAAGAGGGTTACCGGACCTTGCCAAACAGATCGAACGGAGGGCCCAGGTACGTCGACTATGGCCATCGAGCGAAAGTCACATCGGCCAACCAACAGTTGTACATTGACGTGCCCGGTGAGCAGAGTGCTCACTGTCAGATACGCAGAAAAAGAAAGAACACAGCCTGTCAGCCTGTCAAGAATAGAACAAACAGCTAATCCGGGCTTCATCGTTATTTTGTCAACAGTCGTCCAAACGGGGATATATGATACGTCTACCTTCCTTCACACAACAAGGCTTCACCAGTCCAAAACGGTCCAACCAACGGATTCCTCTATCAACGGCTTCCTCCAAAAATGAAGGAGAAGAAGAAACAAGCGAGGTTAGACCCTCCATGTATGCGATGTATGAATCCATGCCCATATTGACCGAAACCATCCCGAAGTATGCAAATGATGGCCGTCCCAAACAGGTCGTGCACAACGACCTGCTTCACCCCGCGAGCGCACCGTCCATCCGTTTCGTTTGGAGCAGCGGTCGGTGGCGGGTTTGGCCCATGCGAGTCTCCTTCCAAGATGATGTAGCAATTCAGCGCGGGGTCCCCCTGCCTGGCGACGCGAAAAAACGACCAACGACCGCAGAACGCAGGGTGGGGAACAGCGGATCGGACGGTGAGTTGCTCACGGGATCGATGAGGGAGGATGTCCTTGAGCTGTTCATCATGGTCTCCTCACCCTTCTCAACAAAAATAAGAGTCTTATATGCCTGGAATAGCCTAGACCATCCCAATGGGTCCATCATGGAGGTCCCGGATAGGTCCTGGTAGATGAATAGGTCACGTTCCAAAAGAATGGATTCTGCTTGGAACAAACCAGCATGACTTGACTGCCATGTCTGGTGGACTCAGTCTCACTCCGCTCTCCCCGCTCAAGGCAAGGCCAGGCCACCGGAAGAGCACCTGGTCCTTCCGCTCCTCGTGCATGGTACATCCACGCGAAGCCAACTCCTCGGCCGCGTGTGCGAAGAAACCGGATGAATGCATCGAGACGAGCGATGCTTGGTTTTAGGATGTTTTAGGGAAGCATCTAGAGGCAACCCATGGTTGGTGTCCGTGTTGGGGTTTGTTTTTGTGGGGTGGATCTGTGTGGTTTGTTTTGGTCCCTCGGTCTAGCGACCGCTCTCGGCGATCGGTCGACTGGTCCTGGGAACGGTCTCCCCATGCGGCCGACTGCTCTCTTCCACGAGTCACGTCACCCATCGATTCGTCAGGTGTGCCACGTCATGCACGTCATGCACGTCATGTCACAGGTTTTATATCATATTATTTTGGGTATTTGAAGTCGGGTCCAGGTAGATCCTTTGCTTCATATGTTTGCTCATCTGAGTTGCCGTCTTTACAATTGTACAACAATTGTTGGAACACATGTGTGCAATCAGGGAAATGCCATCTGTTGATGGAGATAAACCCCAGGTGCAGGAATGCACAGGCGTTCAGGCATTCCATCTACATTGAAACATAGAACACATTGGTACTTGGCACAATCAACGCAGCTCCTATGGCTTGGCGGCGCTAGTGGCTCCATCTACCTCTCAAATGTTTGCCTTGATATGCACTTGAAAGAAGCCATGCTTTTTTGATGCACACACTCTTTTTTCTACATTCCCTGTCTGTGCCATTTACCAATTTTGGGGGGTATCCTAATAATAATTGGCATCCTCCTCTTGCCCGGTGTCTTGCACCCACGCAAGCCCACGAGCTTGTGAAAACCCCAACGACCGCCCCGACCGTGGACTCCGGCCTTGATGACGCCTGGCTGGTTCTTCTCAATCTCCTCAGTGCTGAGATGTTTCAAACCATGGCATTACTACTAGGAACAAGGGCATTATAACTAGCAAGGACGCTACTAGTAGCTCCTGGCAACTAGTAACAAAGGGCATCGCTACTAGGAGCAAAAAGTATATAGCCCGCTGTGGTGGTCCAGTTCTCTACCAAGGATTCTCGGCCACCGAAAAACAGAACACCGGGCTGGTCGGGAGGGTGAGCTCCCATTCCCACGACCGTCACGACGGCCAGATTGGCCAAGAATTCTTGGCCAGGGGTGGTGGTTAACAAATTTGACAAAGGGTGCATTGTAGGCTTATCATACCAGTCGCGTGGAGTGTCTGGGAATGGTTTTACGTGGAAAAGAAACGACTACTCCAACGCTTCCAAAGCATTTGTGCAGGTGATAACTGTCGAGCGGGTCTGGAAAATGGCCCAATGTAGAAGTCACCACTCACGATCTATTGACATGTTTGACACATTGAATTTGTCTCTATCCCAAACACTCCATGTATGGAATATTTACCTGCATTGGGGTGGTTTCAGGGGACAATGTAGTTCACCATGGCCAAACATGGGTTTACAGTGCCACAGGTAAACCATTGGGTGACGTGCATTTTGCTTTATTATCCTGTCACATTCCTTCACTGCACCCCAGTCCCTAAACTCGCGCGTCTGTGCCCTGCGGTCACTCCAGAAAAGATCACCCGGGGGCTCGACACTGGTCACTGCTAGTGAAGATGGAGGAATCCCACCGGTTCACTGAGTTGAATCACCTTCGATATCCCTGTGATCTGCACAACCAATCGGACGGATTCAGTCGACATGGCCTGAAAGACATGGTACAACCACGGCTGCATGCGAAAAACCCAGCAACCAGTGGGGACAAACATCGCCTAGCCTGTGTTTTCCTGTTGCCCAATCCGACACGACCCATGGGACCGGTAGCCTAGTCAGCCCTAGCCTTCCAAGACTTGAAGAATGGTTGACCTGGTGTTGTAGTGTCAAAATAGGTAACTGATTGTTCGGTAAAGCTAGGAACTTGTACTAAAGTGTTTCGTTGGAACCAGGTATCTGGTGGGTTTCCTGCAAATGGGTTCCTGATCGCATAAGATTGGTACCAATAATCCAAGGCTCTCTGAAGAACGAGCAGCCTTGTAAGATCTTGGAGCACTCCTGCTGCAGTCGAAGTCCTTCGAAGATATCCTTCACCACAGCCTGTGCGAAGATCCAGAACGTGCGTCCAACGGTTTCGTTTTGAAGAATACGCTCTCCGTGGATCCAGTGACCCAAATATACCCTAGGGCTCCTGGCCCACATCCTAAGAAGGTGGATAGACGCCCCAAACCTACCACAACCATCTTCTCAAAAAGGTAGGTGGAGTCTATAGGGATCGATAGGTAGCCAAAGTGGTTCCAGTCAAACGAGCCTGCTTGAAGACCGACCAAAGAGCTGCTGGTTTCCAGTCGAATTCCAGGGATCCATTTTTGACTGAAGTGCCTCCTTCATTCGTTGACCCGCTTGGTTAAAACCATTGTGCCGTCACCGTCAAAAGAATTCAGATCAAAGATACACATTTAAAACACACACCTCAATGAACAGCTAGATGTTGCGCTTCTCTTCTGTCAGTCAGCAACTCCCAAGCATTCCATGTATGCAATATTTGGCTAATTTTGGCTACGTTGGGGTTTCTGGGGTGAATGTAGGCATATATACATATATTTCGTACATGGAGTGTCTGGGACTTGTAAATAAGGCAACTTTCCCCTACCCAAATGCAGCCAACGCGCGGGTTCAAGACCTAAACTCCACTAGACAAATCCCAAACCATCCATGGGACTGGAATAGTTACCTACATTTACAGTAGTCATTTACCGATTATCCTTAGGTTTATCCAATTTATTTATGGCCCCAATGTAGGTAACAATTCCAGTCGCATGGATGGTCAATGTTTACCCAGCCACAACTCGACTCAAATCACACACTTTCGATTCATGGGAGAGCGAGTGCGGTCATGACCGACATGACATGACCCGAACAGAAGCCAGGTCCTAGAGTATATACTTGCACCATCTGAGGCACCAATTTTCTGAGGTATGTACTGAGACTGCAGGTTGTTGTAAACAATCATCAAATCCAAATACCAGCAAAGTTGGTCACCACTGATTCCAAAAACAACAAACCAACCGCCCTAGAGTCGAGTCTACCGAAGGGCCCCTCATTCCTCATTCCTCGTGGCGGCTACAGCAAACTGGCCCTAACTCCCCCAGATTGTTGACTTCTGCGGGCTTCAGGGCGTCCATGTACATCATTTGTTCCATCATAATGTCAAGTCAGGATTAATAAAACCCTCTAGTTAATAAACTGGTCTTGACATTACTCTGTATACATGGAGTATATCTGGGTCTGGGAACTCTTGATTTTTGTTCGCCCACGGTCGGGGGGGGCAAGAGAAAAGGTCCACCATGCCCCATTTGCCCCTGGGAGCTGCGGAGGGTACCAAAGGGACGGGGCCGACCGGTTGACCTTGGTTGACCACAGAACATGAACCTAGGGCTCCAGTTTGGGTGGGTGCCAGGTCCAGTCTCGGAGGTCAACCTACCATGGGTGAAAAGTGGGCTCTGGGTGCCATGACCCGCAGCCATCTGTCGCCATCCACGTCATCGAAGGTATGGAGACCACGGACCCGACCCTAGGGCCGTCAGGACCGGGGAGCCGACCTTTTCTCGGAACCCGGACATGGTTCTCTTAAGATTGAGCTGTCCAAACCGGGAAGACATAGAACACTTCTTCCCCGTGCTAGACACATCACCCAAGTCTACCACGAAAATGCCAGCAGAACCAGGTTTCGATCCCATGGCGCCTGATAGGTGGTATAGGGGATCCGCAGAAAGGCAGTCGTCTCCAGGCACTTGATGCTTGCAGCTCTTGGATGGTTGGTCTGCAACGCCTCCGGTCGAAAGAAACCACGCCGCGCGCCACCCGTCGTACGGCAGAGTGGACGTGGTCCGAACGGACCTGGTTGAGGGGTCGCGTCACCCAGACGGTGGTCTCGTCAGGGTCGTTGACTGCAACGGTGGTGTCAATGAGAGTGTCGTTTTGGGTCATCCCAGTCCAGGAACACAAACAACAACTACATATTAGGGGGGACCTCAAAAATTATATTACATTTTCGGGGGGGTCTACCATATAAGTCCAGGGTCAAAAATGTAAGATTACATGATCGAAAGAACACCTTAAAACACATAAGCCTACATGTTTGATTTTAAGCCTCGATATGGAAAACTTACATTTTTCACGTTGATAAATGATCAGCACAAAAACTCTCAGCAAGATTCAACAAACGCAAGCAACGTAAATGTAAGGTCTTCCAAATACCTTTAATAATTGTTTTTTATTTGTGGCATACCTTTGGCCTCTGGAAGTTACATTGTCCATTAATTAACTTCACCCAACAAACCCAATTCAAACTCATCTGACAAGATACAAATGTTTGAACAGCCATTCGGGGGGTCCAAAAACGTAAGTTGCCACGTTCCAGGTACAATGTTACATTAAACCACTCTACCCTCTAAAGTCACTATGCGCAGACCAAGGATTCTCCATGGAATCCCAGGGATTGTGCATCCCATGGTTCACCATCCATAGGGGACGGGGGGGTGACGTATACATTTATCTCAACCCCTTAGAGCCACGTACGGGGGTTACATACATTTATACCCCCCAGAAAATGTAACTTGCATTTTTTGACGTGTTTCCCCCCATATTCCTCAGCTAAGAGGGTGATGATCTAAAAACATCTAAGAAACACATGCTAAGCCGTAGATGGCATGACCGCTACGCTAGACGTGAAAGACTACAGTCTTTGACTTTGTTGGGAGTTCCGGGTGTGTTTGTTTTCCTACTGTGCAGGTTGTTTCTGAACCTCCACTCTGTACGTAGTTCCACAAGCGTCACAGTCACATGACTGCTTAGAACGCTTTGGCCTTTAACCATTCCCCCAAACCACAGGAACTCCCGAAAACTCATTCATGATTCGGATCCCGTGTTTTTTGTCAACGAACACCTTTTGCCCAACAACATACCATAAAAAATACCTGGCCACCACTGGTCTGGATCTTGGATTTGAAATAAATATTTTTTTTGAATATTCTTCCCAAGCCAGGGGAGTCGCCCATAATGGTATCGGGAACCATCGTCAACAATCAACCCCCGCATTTTTCTGGTGTGATTGATCCCCAACGGCCCAACGTTGATGTTGGCTGGTCTTCCTAGTCGATCCGACTCCAGGGGACTGCCATATTTACGGATCATTCGGAATATGCCATATCTACAGAAAGTGTCTTGGATTAGGTGTGATGGGAGAGTCTACCTAGAGAAACAAAAAACTAACAATTTGTTGGCTCCTGGATGAAACATCGCTTTTTAAGAAAACCACAATTCTGACCGAGCTACGAGGAGGTATGCAAAATACACATTGGCGCCAGCTCTCCGGTTGGAGGGGGCAATGCGGGTGAGAAGCCAAAACCTGGATCACGGGTAAAGGAACACAAAGGGAAGAGTCCAGGAGTCCAGGGGAGAACCAACGCAGCGAGTTCGAGAACCCAGGCTCCAACACAAGGGGCCCTCACCAAAGCTCTACCCATATCAGGCAGGACAAACTGGTACACATGCACGGAATTGGGAGCACTGGCTGGCCAAGAACAGGGTGAAACAAGCTCAGGACTGTCCACAGTCGGCAGCCGCAGAGGGAAGCATCAAAGAAATCCAAGCGATGGTTGCGTTTGAGACGTTGCTTGAAGCACGCCCCACGCAACCCTCGTTGCAAATCAATGGAGATCCGAACAGTGAGTTTCTGCTACGTGTGCTCAGCCGGGCGTTTTTCCTTGAGGTCGACAACTTTGCACAGGGTTTCGAAGAGTCGGGCTGTTTCAGCTGCATACCCTCCCGTGCTTTCCGAAGTCAGAGGTTCAAACCCTAGGTTTTGGCCTTCGCACCTCGCCTGCATGTCAGCATGCGTGCGTTCCAGGTAAACCTTTTCACAGCAGCAAGAGCGTCACAGTAGTCAAGGCAAGCCGGGGGAACCGACACATCCACGGGGCGAGCTTGGGGGGGACATCAGGCAGCAAGTTGTCGGGCTCAAAAGTAGCCAGGCACCAGCACGGACTGCAAGGCGAAAACAGCGTTTCGGAAAGCAGTGCAGATCTGTTTGCGTCCTTACAACGGTGGCCATGGGTATCGAGGTTTTGATGGGCCAGGTGGGGAGGTCTTACAACTCCCCCCTCATACCGTGCATGCTGCCCTCGTGTCGATTTCCTCACATGCTTCGCACAGGGATTCCGACAACATGCAATGAACTACAATGCTACTAAGTGCTTTCGAACAGGCACATCTGGCGCAAAGTGTCATGCTGCGGGCTAATGATCTTGGTAAATCCATTGGCACGTTGGTCTGCCGAAATGCAATACTCGGCAACGGCATCACCACTAATCAATTGTTCATGACAAGAAGCTATGTTTACCCTATGCACTCAGCCACAATGCCCTGGACGGTTGGACAGGGACAATGGAGCCTCTACCACGATGGCTTGCAACTTGTGGAACTGGGGGCCTAGATGATGACTAGCAGTGCCTAAGGACCGTGATGAACTCCTCTTAATAACATTAGACTTTCTGACACTCAAGGCTGTTGGGGGCCTTGGATCTGTGGCTCCGGGTTTTGTGCTCGAGGACACCTGGAGTGGGGACGATTCATCATGACATGTTCATTCTCTCCGAACGGCAACTCATACACTTGCGGCATTGCAGACGGATGCACGGATGCAAACGTGTCTTTTCTCCCTCTATAGGTATGGTACTTGTTGCACTGCCTTCACTGCTCCTAAGCTTCTTGCACGAGAGGAAGGACAAGTTCAAGGGCCTCAAGCACGTTCCGGCAATAGCGAACGCCGTCAGCCTTTGGCTTCAATTCCTGCAAGACCTCCTTGTTGTCGTCGATGTGAACCATGTATCCAGTGACTCGGAAACAAGTGATCAGGGCCAATCAGGGCGTGTAATTTGCCCCCAACTCCGTCCCTTTCACCAGTCACAATGTTGTAGTCAACAAGGTTCTGCCTTGGCACAGAAAGGACACGACGCCTGAATGGCAGCTCGTGCAATCGGCTCCAACTTTCGACAGACCAACTCGTGAAGCGAATAGCCCTCCGGTCGAAAGGTCTGCCTTTGACCCACACGGATCGTGTCAAGAACCTGATGCCAGTCGATGCTCACCAAATACTTGCACCAAAGGCCATTCCTCCACAGTTGGATTTGGTGCTTTTGCCAAGAGGAGTTGATATCAACCCTGAGCTGACTGGGAGTAGGCAGTTGAAACCAAGAACCACGGACGCACTGTTTTCCGTGACAGTTCTTGAGCCAAAACGTAAAGGCGGCATTTGCCAAATGATACTGTACTAAGTGGATGGTCATGCATACATGGTAGTATGGAGGTATGCTGTATTTGACAACTAAGATCGCTTCTTAAGTCAGAAAGAATGTCAGAGTGAATGTAAAAAGATATGATGATATGCAAGAAAGCGTGTCTGAAAAATGGCGGAGTTATGATATGCCAGAAAGAGTAACGAGTGTTAGAAGATAGCAGAAAGAATGTCAGAAGATATACCAGGCGTACCAGGAAGAGTGACACAAAAACCTCAACCACCAGTTCCGGACGGCAGTGTCCGGACCTCAGCCTCCAGTTCCGGACGGCAGTGTTCCCCGCCGGACCTCAACCGCCAGTTGGAAGATATGTCAGATAGAATGCCAGAAAGAATGTCAGAAGATATGTCAGAAAGAATATCACAAGATATATATGTAACAGAAAAAAAATCAGAAATAATGTCAGAAGATATGCTAGAAAGAGTGTCAGAAAGAATGTCAAACATATGCCAGAATGCCATGTTTCAATACATGCCGACAAACATGATCAGATGTGTCATGGTGGGGATCACTCGAAGTGAAGTAAGTACTTGTGTTTTTTTCATGTACTACGTTTTCTTGCTCTCGTTGTTTCCCGGTCACCGTGAGCTTCCGAGACCCCAGCCCCACCGAACCCCACAACCGCTCCGCGCCAGCTCGCCGAAGATGCGTCCTGCGCCCAGCTGGGCGACTTGGACCCCCAAGACCTCGAGGGTCGACTTTCGCCGCTTCGGTGTCGACTCGAACACGAGCGCAAGTGGACTCAGAAAAGACCTGGGGGGTGCTTTTGGTCGTTCCTGTCCCTTCTTTTTAGTATCTTAAAGCAATATAACGTTGATGTTCGACTATGGGCATGATTTGAAGGTATGCTTCGCGCAGTGTGAAGGTGTGAAGACTAAACTAGGAGCTTTGGAGCATTTTCAGAGGGTGTTTGACAAAAGAGTATGCCTCGCCTAAGCCGAGCATCCCAACCATATGTAAACTATACCTGGCCCTCCAACAGGTCACCACCTATCACTTGTAAGTCTGCAAAACCTCCATTTGGGAGATCTGATTTAGTCGGGCGATGGTAGTGACACATTGAATGTCAAACAAACACACATGGCTGTGGGTCAAAAAGCCCTGGTTGACCCCTGAAAATGAACGGAGTCCTCTATGTTCGGGATGTCAACCTTCTATGGTTTGGTGGGTTTAGGTTTTGACCCACACCCACATTGTTCCCCAGCTTCTTCAGTTCGTGAGCAAAAATTGCAGTCCAGATCGTTCACTTGTGACCTTTTTTACAAGGTGCCAGGCGTGGAGATGTAACCGAACTATATAACAAGGGGATCAACAAAAACCGCCACTGAATTGAAGAACCAATGCAAATTATTTGTTGGATTTTTGACCAGTCAGTTTAATCAAACCTCTTCTCCATGCCAGGGGATGAAACCCAGGAACCGGGACACTAAACAATCACCCAACTCTACCGCCAAACCCAAGCGAAGGGACCGAAACAACGGCTCCTTGCTGTACAAGGAGTGTTTGTCATCTTTGCTTCTCAGAATCCGCGAAGGAAGATGCAGAAACAACTAGGAGAGAGAGAAGCATCACCCAGCAGATCACAGAGCTCGTTGGGTGCGGACTCCGATAGTCGGGCGCCGATAGTCGGGGTGCCCCTGTCACGTCACATCACATCACATCCACGTGTCGGCCGTGTGGACTACAAGCCACACCACCCCAACTCCATGCGACTCCATAGACTTCATGCGACTCCATGGGACTGGTCATGAACTTAGAATCTCTATAAACTGGTCCACTCTCTGGAGCCGAACTCCGTGTACTCCGTCTCGTACGAGTAGGGTATTGGGGAATCCTGTCCAACCAAACACGTGGAATTCGCAGGGTTTGCGAAAGGCCCTGGGATTGGCCATGATTTTGCCCACCCAATCCGCCGCTTGTAAGCACAGATGTGAAGGTACTTGTTTCCAAACTGCTTTAGCTCTTGGCTTGTGTCCCAGCCAGGCGATGTGTCCCAGCCAAGTCGGGTCCGTGCCCAGGTCACCAATCGGTCACCGACTGGGTGGGACGTCTAGGCACCGAAGAGAAACTCCAGGTGCTGAAGCCCTCGATACCTGGACTCCGACGTCGTGGTCAACGCAGGGTGGTGGTGGGTTTCCGGAGGTCGTTCATCCGGGGCGAACAAGGGGTCTATAGGGTATGACTTTTCCCGTCGGTTTTCAGGGATTCTGGAAGTAGGGCGGTGTTTTGTATAGTTGTCTGGGTGCTCCTGAGGTTGTTGGGATGTGGAACTGAGAATGCTTCCTTCCGAATCGCTGGACTTATTGGGGAGCACATTGACTCATTGACTTCCCTACAAGAACATCCCTAAGCCATTTAGAAATCAAACCCCAGCTCAAAGAATCGTACAAGGCAGTCGCCACACGAATAAGCACTTGGATGATGTAGCTCTAGGTCAAGGTGTCAGCCTTTCGACATGTTGGTCCTCTACAGCTAGAGAGAAACTCCAGTGCCCATATTCTGAAAATGTTTGGCTATACCTGGCCTAAATCTAAAGAAACATGGCTCAGGCCGAACTCACCCCCGGAGAGGAAACAAACAAACAAAAACACAAACAAAAAAACAAAACAAAACAAACATACAAACAAACAAACAAACACGTGCATGAAGGCCATCATCCATCATTCTACTGACTTATGGATGCTGGTAGTACGTCTTTGTCATATTCATGTTGGCTTGAGAGTGGGTAGGACCATAATTATGCGCCAAATAATGCCATATATAGTTTGTCAGAGCTGGTTGTATGAACTTTTTTTCGAACAGGTCTTGTGTCATCACAGTTACATTTGCATGCCACGCCTCGGGGGGAACAACCAATGGTGGGCACCACCAAAAGGAAACAAATTCTCGAGTTTGAAGGACCCAAACAGCGGGCAAACCACATCTCAAACATCCAGCGGCTCTTGTATCTGGGCTCTTCATCCTCTGCTTTGGCCCAACTCTCCAATGCACTGGCGCCAGCTTTGGACTTCGCGGCTTTGGGGTTGGTCACCTCCGCTTGACCTGCGGAGCTGGGCAGGTGTGTTCCAAACGATCTGATTTCAATAGGACGAGGAGGACTCAATGGCCAAGACACCTATACCTGGAGCATCCTGTCTGGGTGTCCTGGCTGGACTACCCTACTTACTTAGGGATCTCCATTGGACACCCATTGGATGGTCCTGGTATACTTCCTGGTGTGGCCTTTTCCAAGCTGAGGCTGAGGGCGAAGGGGGTTCAGGATGTTTTCAGTCGTTTTTTTCGCCTCGATTTACACAAACGCTAGCAAGTACGTTGCATACCACTCCCCCGTTTAGGGGGTCCTGCAGTTATAGCTGGTTGATAGCGAAAACATGCGAAAACATCAGTTGGACCGGACCGGACAAAATCTCGCAAATTTGGGCTTTCCACCCAGAACGGGTTGGGTTTCCCTCCTCTCCACCGTCTCCTCTACCGGCTTTTCTGCTCAGTCCATCCCCCATGGGCCGTCGCCTGTGAGCAGATCCGCCAGATCTTTGGCAGTCTTGGCGCTGCGGAGTGCCCCACGCTGCTTCATCCGCTCACGCTCCTCTTGCAAGGTGTTGAATTCCTTGGATCTTGGCGGTTCGTCCGACCCATCAAGTCCTGACGTCCGACCTCTCCAGTTTCGGCTGGCGGGCCGGGGGCGGGTTTGAGGTGAATCTATTTCACAGCCTCCAAGCGTGCTGATGAAAAAGATATGGAACTCAGCCAGGTCCTTTTGAAGGTGTGTACCATCACTTGAAACCAAGGATGTCAAGAATTCCTTCAGTGAATTCATGACTCGCTGTGGGAACAGGTCAATTCATATTGAATTCAGTGGCTTGTGCATCGATGGAGGTAAACTCACATGAATTCATATGAACTACGCGTTTGGGAAACCGCAAAACTACCGAGGGGCGGGCGGGTTTACCCACGTCCGGCGTAATTTCCCATAACTCCGGCGTACTTTTCCGGACTCAGTCTCTTGAAGGTTTTGAATCTGGAAACGCTTTTTAAAGAAGTATTTTGACTGGAGCCATGAGTTCTGCTACGTTTAGGGGGTCAAGGTCGTGAAGCAAGCTATCCTGGAGAGAGCAACCTGGACCTTTAAAAGAACTTTAGAGACACGGTTGCAGAGACAGAGGGGCTCCTTGCCACATACTCCTTGGCTTGTTCTTGGAAGTCTTTGCTGGGGCCTGGGCACAAGTTTGCTTATATTTTGTGACGGTTCTGCTCTTAGGCATTTCGGAAGATGGGCGAGGGCAGTGGGAACGGGAAGGCTCCAGAGTTGGGTTGTGGAAAGAATGTCTTCCAGAAAAACTACTCTTGGCGCAAAGGCAGGTTGCATGTGTATGATCCAACCTTTCATCATCTCTGTTTTTCAGAATCTTGGATCTGGATGTTTTTCAGGCCCTCGGCGTTTTCTTTGGTCATCCGGCGGAAAATCCTTGGCGGATTGAGGTCCGGCACCTTTCTTCAGTCCAAAGGAGGATTCTTAGTACAGTGTTTGAGGCCGTTTCGTGCAACACAAGGGATGCGTTTGCAAACTCATGCGCTCGGCTCCTCAAAAAGACAAGTTTATAAAGCATGCAGTGATAAGAACATGGACATAGTTCCAACGTAAGCACCGGTGCTGTCTCACACAATACACGGTATGTGCTCACATGTCTTGGACTGAAGGGGCGAATCTGACATGTTTGTACTTAGCAGGTTTTAAACCTCGTGGAGGTTGCAAAAGATCTTTGGGGGGCAACATTTATCTACCAAAGACGCAAACACCCTCATCAATCACGGTATCTCCAAGGGTTCCTGAAAGTCTTGTATAGGCTTCGAAGAGACGGACTTTGGACACATCTGGTCGGTGCATAAACACAATTGCTAAAATAAATCTCTGAGACTCTGATGAAACAAACATTGATAATTCACGGAAAAGTGGATACAAGTATGCCATGAGACGTTGGATCAGCTGGATCCTTATACGCAAATACTCTGTGGGGCTGTGTGCATAGAGCTGATTCATGCTGATTCTAAGTGGGCTCGGAGGGGTCGTACTTTCAGCCAAGGGCTCGGAGGGGTCGTACTCCTCCCGTGGTGTGGGTGGCTCGTCATCCAGCAATTCGTTCCGCTTGAAGATGAAGACCCCAACGGAGCCCGAGAGCACCACCCAGCCTCGTTCAGCAAAGGACGGCTGCAGAGTTGGAGAAACCTTGTCCTCCCTCAGTGTCCATGGGGGAGTCATGCTGCATGGGGGCAGTGTACCCCAACTGCAGAGTAATCCCGACCCTGAGAATTCGGTTTACCCATTGGAACGCCACCCGACCGTGGTTTCGGCCCAGCATGTTCCAGCTTCTTCTGCACGGGACACCACGTGCCCAGGCTCGATGGGCTGCCAGAATGGCACCCGCGTGCGCCATCGCTCACCCATCTCCACGCTGCCCCAGATATCGCCGATTTCTCTCGGAACATACCAGGCCAAAAAGCAGACTTCTTCGGTGGTGGGGAAAGCATATAGGGGAAACAAACACCCCCCCCTGACTACAAAGGTGTTGACCAGTGATCCAAAAACATGTCCGGGGTACGAAACTCAGCACCGCAACTTCACATCGTCTTGCCGTGTGACTATGTGGAAACGATGTGGAAAATCACCCTGGCCCTAGCCTGTCGAATGATGACTGGCCCGTCCTGACTGGCCTTTGTTGAAATAGCTTGGAGGGCCCAGTCGTACCTTCTGAGAAAGTATGTGGATCCCTAGGGAAGGTGAGCCCCATGCAAGAAGTAACCGTCTGCGGCATCCCGGAGATGTCGCACTGGACTCTGGACGTCGGAAACTAAAGGATCTTTCATGCAAGTGATTGTTGAAAGTTCGGCAATTCCAAAGCTCTATCATGTGCCATCGTCTTTTGTCTTGCCAAGCACATCTGTAAATCGGTTGTCAACCTGGACGGAAGCTACCAGCAAACCCTATAGCCTTCAAAGACCAGTTCAACAATTGTTTACCTGGTCTTTGGTGTAAAATCCTTAGTAAAACAATGGTTCTTCGGTAAAGGCTATGAAAATCAATGGTTGTTAAAATCCTATAGGGAACACCCAAACATGAAAGGACAAAGGTCGGTCACTGAGACATGCCAATCGCATCAACAGGGGAGCTTGCCCTACCGGCTCCTACGGCTGTGGCAGGGTGTGGTTCATCAGATGTGGAAGTTGTGGGCTGGCTGGGAGTGCAAAAAAAACACCCAGCAAACCGATGGTATCTTGACATCCCTTCCCCTATCACCAAAACGTTGTAGCTCCTCAGGTTCGGTATGACTGGACCCTCCCGGCACCAACCCCAGCTCCCACCTCACAGAAGTACCACTGGAGGTTCTAAACGAAACATCTCCAGTCGGCGGGTGGCCGAACCATGAACGGGTCGCAGGGCCAGGAACGAGGGCGAACCGGTGGCACCGGTGCTGGTTCCAGGGCGGATCTGAACCCCGAGAGAAGGAGTGCTGCCCCCCCCGACCTGTGACGTCCGATCTCACGGAGATATCGACTGAAGGCTGTGAGATGTTGTGAGTGGTTGATCGTACGGGTTTTCTTAGCCCTTCCCCTTCGATGATCACCTCATCACCTCCTCTTCCCTGGTCGAGGCACAACCATCTGGTGGGTCATGCTGTCTGAAGATAATCTCCTCCAAAGGGTTTTTTCATGGTTCTTCATTCCAGCCCAGGGTTAATGTTAGCAATGCGAAATGTCAAGTGGCACACATGTGATGCTTCTTTTGGTGGGAGCTGCCCTGGCTTCACTCTTTTTAAATGATTGAATGTGCCAACTAGTACTACAAACGATTCACCAGAATGGTGCATAATCTGTAGACTCACCGCATGGTTTAACTACAGGAGCAAAGCGTAGCCATGTATGATTGAACCCTGTGAAAACCATTCAATGGCCCACGCAAGTGGGTTTTCTCACAGCAAACCATTCAATGGCCCACGTAAGTGGGTTGATTCACAGCAAGATTGAGCAGCCCTCCCTCTTACAGTACGGAGTTTGTTACAGGGGCTCGAGATGCTGGAGAGTAGACAAACTGATATGTCACCACCTGGCCCTGTCCTCACACCAGTCCGCCTAAACAATATGTATATGTATGGCTCACTATATCAAGCTACTCTTGTAGGTCTCCAGTCATGATGCAAAGTCCCTCCAAACATGGCTGGGATGATGATGGTTAGCTTGCAGGCCTTTCTCTAAAATCGTGTTGCAGGTCATAGGACGAACCAAACATAGACATGTTATATACCGTTATACCCTCCCTGCAAGCAGCGCATGCTTTCGGTTGGGTTCGGAGAATGGTCATGTGTTCCAGGGACCAGAAGGTCCACGTAGCCATGAGGACGTTGGAGAGAGGGTTCAAGTCATACTCGAATGCACTCCATACATCTCCATACAAAGTGACGGGTCATGTTGCTCCTTGGGAGGCCGAGCCAAGACTCTGTGGCATACTGCTCTTAGGAGGCCGAGCCCATCGCCGCGAGAATGCCAACCCGCCCGGAGCACGTCCTCCGCCTGGATTTCCTGATAGATCACCTGCGATGTGGGCAGCTTTGAGTGTTCAATATGCAAGAAACACGTCACCGTCCCGTCCAGTCCAGCCATTGGTTGCCGGGATCTCCATCAAGAGATCCAGAAAACCAACAAGAATACCCCATGGGGATCAAAGAACAACTGAAAAGCCTTCGCACTCAAACCTTTTGGACCAAATCATCCGGGTGGTTTGGGTGGTGAATCTAGGTACCCGTGGTGTCAAAGTACATCGGAAAATTGATACTAGTTTATATTACGATCATATCATGTCCCATCTTGTTGGGCACTTTGGAAGGTCCAGGTACATATTCCTCACATGGAGTATCTGGGATAGGACGAAAACCAACAACAGACCAATCAGCGCCACCAACAACACCAGTACCATGATTGCTCAACAAGAATGAAGCTATGAGAAAAGGAATAGACAAAAGAACGGCTAGGGGCCAATAAACTCCAGGGCCAACGAGCAAAACCTTCACTCTCAAAAACAAACCAAAATCAAATTCAATGCAGTGATCTCATATCTTTCATCACAAGCAACGCATGTTGATCAACATGAATAACCTAGCAACCATGCTATCTCTCAGAACCATTGAAGGATTCACCCAGCTATCTCCCCTACTTATGGATATGGTTGGTTTCCAAAATGTCTTTCCCAAAATGGTGCACTCGTCGCAATTCCATGGGGGCCCGCTTCTAAATCTCCTTTAAACTTCAACCACACTCAAACCACAGGGATAAGGCGTGTGAACTGAAACTGTGAGAGGTGTCTAGCGCGGACTGCTGAGATGCTGGAGCTGTTGCTGCTGCTGCTGCTGGACTCCTGCAGTTGTTTTTTGTTCTCAGAAATCTTCAGAACGACATAATTAGCGCCAACCTAGCGCCAATCTAGCGCTGCCTTGCTGTATCACCATATTATGGTGGGGGCCCGCTTCTAAACGAAAACTCAAAAACACATCTACAGCCTTAAAAGTTTACGTTTATCTATATTTTTTGAGTAGGGCTTTTTGAGCGCAGTCCATATGCATTGGATATCTCTTGGTTGTTCACGAAGCTATCCTTAGATCAACACCCTCCCCTCTGCACATCCATCCTCTCCTCAGCACATCCATCGCTGGTTTTCCCCAGGCCTCCTTGGCCAAGCGTTGGACCAAACCAGGAGAGAGCTCCTGGCTGAGAAACCGGCGCTCTCTCGGGGTCTGCGGATCGCAGATGTGAGGATGTGACTTCAGCAAAAGGGGGGGGTTCGGTGGTGGAGTCTCAAAAGAGTACCTCAGAAAATCGGTACAAGTTACAAGTACCTTTTTTATTGGGTCATGTCCCATTTTCTCCATGTAGAGTTGCTTGCCTGCATCCACTGGGTCCTTGTGAAAGCACTGGGGCGGTGCCTTGCTTCCCGAGGAGCACAACAGGATGGGTTTAGCCTCTGTTCTCTTGGCCGGGAGGGTGATATGTTCGACACTTTTAGCCCTAGGGTTTCTGGTCCACATCCCAAAAGAAGAGAAGCTAGTTGGAACCCGTTTTGGGGTAGATAGACTTGGAAGCTCCACTTTCGCAACAAATTCCGTCCAAGTCCACGGCGCGGACGGCCTGAGTTTCAGCGAACGAACATGGATGGATCTCAGTGCGCTCGGACGAAAAGGGGGCCTCCAAGGGCTTGAAGAACTCGTAGCCTCCTCGAGGACACCAGGAGGACACGCTGTGATGGATGAGGTGAGAAAACCACGACTGCTGAGTGGGATTCATGAGATACCCACATGTGGTCTTGTGGAAACAGCTGGGCCAATGCGATGTTTAAAACAAGATAGGTTGTTGATGGTTACACCTAAAGACCTAGATCCCCATGGCACAGCCATGAGACGACTTCCTGTGTCGCGGTACGAGAAAGGTCTCGGGGTGTCCATCCCCGGCTGGAGGGCCCAGGTAGAACAGAAAAACATCCACTGCAAAGATGTGCAAAAATGTCAAGATCATCTTCCGTCCCACATCGATGGTCACACACAATGAGCTTTTCCATGCCCATGGGCAGGTGCAAAACTCTTGCATCACTCCGACTCCATGTCTTTCCCACCCATGAGATCAATCCGAAGCACTCCATGCATGGGTATCTCATATACTACATCCCAGTCGTACCGAACCTCAGAAGGTACTGGACCCTCCTGGCACCGGCAAAAATTCTGATCCCAACTGCCAAACCACCCTAAGAATCTGCCCCTCACAGGAGAAAGCTTTGGAGGGCCGGACCTCTGCCAGATTAGTCCGACCCCTGCCATATGGAGAGTCTACGGATTTATTAGGACATGCCAATCATGATCTGCCGGTCCCATTGGTCAAAAGAGTGTCCAGGACCGGAAACGCTGGTTCACCCCTCTGCTGACAGGTCTCGGAGCAGTTGTTCCACCATCGTTGACCAGTCCTCCTGCGGCAGAAGTCTTAGGGGTTCGGGCCATCCGAGCCTTCAAGGACGATTGAATGGGAATCACCTGGTTTGGGCGTCCAGCCTCAATCAAAACCTAGGATTCTTTAGCACAATGGTTGATGGAATTGCGGGGTAATGTACCAGCACCATCCTCTCTGGGTCTCAGAAGAAACACTCAACACATCGGTACGTGGGTTTCCATTGGCCATTGGATGCTCCAGGTAACATGACTGAATGTTGATCAATAGAACCCCCAGATTCCGATTGAAACACTGCTTTATATATGGGTGGCTTTATTAATCCACAGACTGACTACATTCCCACTTAGGGGGACAAACCTGTTCTTGCAACTTCTAAACTCTTGACTCAAATCCCACGTAATGCGTTGAACCGTTTATGACCCAGCCCATTCCAGCAATTCCAGCAGTACTTGCACTTGTTTT